TGAAAAAGACAATTTTTCTTTTCATTTTCCTATCATTTTAAATGTATTTTATTTTTAACCAAACCAAGCTTGGTGTCATTAACAAATTAAGATATGAACTGGTAAAATACAAGTTGACCAAACATCAGAAACAAAAGGACTACAACAGAGACAGATGCACAACTACCATCAATAATCCACCATCATATGTCAAGACTAATAAACATACAACCAGTCATAAATAAGAATCTGTAAGCAGAGATGAAAGCGACAAATGGTACAAAATAGAGGAATTTGTTGCCAGTGCTCAACCAGCAGCATCAATAAACATCATCCATCAAACATGACTACTAAAATACAATGTCTAGTAACATAATACCGACAAAAAAATAAAATAAAATAAATAAGCAACAGATAATAAAAGATACGAAGTATGCAGCAAATAACTTCAAACATTTCTTGCAAGAAAATGACCAAATGAGCCTGCTAGATGTTGTTGCATTTGTGGTCCATGCAGAAAAGAATATCCATCATTTCCTGATCATGAAAGTTCTTGAAAATAGTGACAGGCATCATTGATTTTCCATTTAACTCTCTCCAAAATGGGTCTGGCATATGCAAACCCATGGCACCAGCTATACTTCAGAAGTACCTATGCTCGCCCCACCTAATCTTGCAATTTACATGGCACTCTGCAACATCAATATTAAAATTTTTTATATGCAATGGCATCTACACAAGGCAAGTCCAAGCAACTAGAATCAAGAACAGTAAATAAAAAGTAAAGGGTCTACACCACAAGCAAAGTGACACAAAATTAGACATTGAAAGTACTCGCAAACAACTAGAATCAAGAAAAGTAAACAAAAAGTAAAAGGTCTACACCACATGCAAAGTAACACAAAATCAGACATTGAAAATACTTATACACCAAATTAATATCATAATCAAACATCCTCTTTCCTGCATGAGATATGGATCTAATGGTAAAGAAAATTGCTGTAATCCAGCCACCAACTAAATCCTAAAGCCATTTGTGGCATTAACAATCTGTACTCTCGGTGTCTTTACTTGTAGTACAAGCTTAGAAAATGATGCAAAAGAAATTTGACAATTACTAGAATGCATAGTTATCCAAACAAACAAATTGGTTGAATATTAAATCTTCCTAATTTGATTAAATTATCTCCATATTTAATCAAATCCACATTCAACACACTTGTTTCTCTAGTCAAATCAAACATCCTACTTTCTGCATGAGAAATGGATTGAAAAGAAAAGAAAAGAAGATTGTTGTAACAGAGCCACCAACCGAAGAATAAATGACTCAAGAATCATCAGAAAATTGACATCAGCAAATCCCGTATAAAAAAATAAAAAATTAAAATCAAGTTAAACTTGAAAAAATAACATCTATCAATTATATAAACCATGATTTACTAGCTAGAACAAACTGCATTACAAATAGTGATCTAATTTATTAATAGAGAGTACAAGACCTCACAAGGAGTCATTTAGTTGGACAAATATAATCATAGACAACAATAGAATAAGAAAGACGTCATGAGAGGCTTCTATTTGCACACCCCCCCCAAAAGACCTGAGTTGTTTTTTTTTGGTTCAAGCAAGGAATGGAAAAGGGACAATATTACTCTCTCCATCCCACTCGTTTGTCCATTTTGGAAATTCTAACTTTTTGAAAGGACATGCAAAAAATGCATTGGAATTCAAATTCAAACGTACTATTTCCAACAACTGCCCCTTTATTTCCCACTTTCAAATATGCAAATAACTATTTATAAGGGATAATTTCGAAACTTACAAACTTTATGCTTTGACTTTTCAAAGTGGACAATCTTTTGGGACATCCCAAAATGAAAAGATGGACAAACAAAATGGGATGGAGGGGTACAAGACTGTACTTGTAAAACAACTCCACACCTGTGTTGAATAGGGCTTGGTTTCAAAAGCTCTCAAAGATGATGCCTTGTGGCTTAATTAACCAACTATTTGTGACAAACCTAACTCGTTTTTCACTGGACCCTTTATGCAAACCCTACCAATTTGATACCCATGAGCTATGACCCAAAAATGATTAGACAACTCTAATAATAATACAATATATCAAATGCAATGCAACAATGCTATATGGAGTAGTTTATTTTAGAACCTAATGCTGTGTTTGGATTTTGGATTTGTCAAGGGAAAATAAAATGAAAGGGTAGTGGAATTACATATACATTGATAAGGCAACCAAGAAAGAAAAACTAATACATACGTCATTTTCTTATCCAAAGCATCACTTGGATATCTTAAAACTATATGGTCAATCTTAACAAGGTTCTTATAAAAGAAAATCATTTAATGGCACCCATCTTGGTTTGCAAATTAAGTTTCAGCAGTCATCTAATTAAAAATATATATAAAAAAAATAAAAAAAAAACCATTATTGTTGTTCGCCCTAAGATGTGTGAAGGATTTAGTCTCTTCAAGAAGTGAAAATTCGACTGCCTATTAAGTATTTACAATGACAATGAAACCAATGTAACTAACGTTTACCTTTTGTAGTATGCATATTTGGTTAATGGTCAATTACATTGGAACAACTTTAGAATATATATCATTTGATGGTCAATCAAGTGTGTGGAAAAAATTCCTCTTTGGATCCTACATATTTTGATCAATAGATCAGAGATATACCCAATCAAAACTGGGAGAGGGAGGACACTTTATTTCCACTGGCTAAGAAAATTGGTTAGGTTGTAGTTATTGTTACTCCTCAATGGGTTTCATTGGTGGTGCTATAAATCTGTAGGCCTAATGATGTTAAGATACTTTTTGAGTTGGTTGCTGTCTGATGGAGTTTTGTGAAAACTATAAATTCTTCTTCTATTCAATTACATGATGTTTCAAATTTAGCACTGCTAGTTGATTGAGCTTCTATTATTAATTCTAACCATTGTCATTGCTATTCCTCAAATGGTTTTCACTGGTGCTATAAATCTGCAGGTCTGATGCTGGGATATTTTCAAAGTTGATTGGTGTCGGACGGAGTCACCATTGCTTCTTGCCTAGGGCTTTTGAGACTGTGATGGATACTTGGACCGGAAAAGCTGTTTCGTTTTATAGCCATATTTATGGTTGTGTAGGGCATTTGACTGCATTGGTGTGCGATTATGTTAGTAACATCTACCCTAATTACCTTGACTCTCTTTGTGGTTGTTGAGGAATTCATTTATTGTATTAGATTATGTTCAAAGGCCTAGGTGGGATACCTTTAGATGGTCAGTGTCTCACTTTCTCAATGTGTGACCTCGTTCTGCTGTTATGGGATTATGCACTCCTTTACTGTCTATTTCTAATCTTCACAAAAGGACTTTTGTTGGGTATGAGAAACTAAAATTGATACCGCTTAAGGAATTCTAAAACGGTCAACCATTATCTGTAGTGGCATAAAACCATTTATGGCATTAACAATCTGTCCACTTGGTGTCATTACTTGCAGTTATAAGGTTAACAAACAATGCAAAAGAAAATTTTGACGATTTCTAAAAGTGCAATTAAGATGCATAATTATCCAAATTAACAAAACTATTTGAATATTAAATCTTCCTACGTTGATTAAATTATTTCCTTACTAAGTGCATGTTTGGGTAGACCTAAAAAAGGCAAAACGGTAAAAAGGCACTACAAAAGTCAAAAAGTTTATACTATTCACATTTTTTTTGGTGGGAAAACTGGGCTGATTTGTCAGAGGGCAAAAAGATACATTTACCCTTATTTGTCCCATTCCAACTCACGTGCGAAAAAGGAAAAAAAAAAAGAAAAAGAAAAAAAGAAAAAAATCAACACAGTGCACTGATATAAGTCCCATCACTGACAAGCACTGACCCTCATAGAAGGGTAGTTCGGTCATTTTAGTATTTTATAAATATTTTACTACACATTTTTTCGTAAAAAGTCAAAAAGTTTCCCCAAACAACTATATTTTTTTCCTCTACTTTTTTGGATAAAAAGTCAAAAAGTGCACTTATATAGTTCATCTCAAATAATCCCTAAATTAAATCCACATGCAACACACATGTTTCTCTACTAGTCATAATAAAAAATCCTGTTTACCGCATGAAAAATGGATCGAATAAAAAAAATTGTTGTAACCTAGCCACCAACGACAACCTAAAGGTAAAATAAAAAAAGTGACATCTAAAAATCCTGTAAACCAAAAATGGTCAAGTTAACTTGAAAAAATAACAGCTATCAATCATATAAACCAATATTTACTAGCTAGAACAAGCTACAAACAGCATTACAAATAGCAATCTAATATAAATTTGTCCTGGCTTATCTCAATACGAAAGAAAACTTTAACCATAATTGTATGACGGGTATTAATGTCTTGCTAGAGAGTTAATCCTGGTCAATTTATACAAACAAACTATACGACCGCTTCAAAAAAAAGAAAGCATGGCTATAAAGTAACCTCCTTGATTCATATTAGTATGAATACCTCTATTATATTCCTGCTTTGGTTTCACTATTCTAGTGATGTAAAAGATTCCATTGGATTGTTATTTATAGGTGACATATAGCCTTATCATTTAGAAATCCAGTTAATTGAGCAAACTATATTGAGCCACAAAAAAAAGGATGTTCAAGCTCAGCTCACTTACCAAACGAAAAGTGATTTTAAGCTTAAAATGGACTCATTTTACCTTTAAATCAAGCTTGAACAAATCCTAAACGAGCCAAGCTCACGCTTATCTCGAGCAGTTCAGCTCCCCTATTTATTACTCTGCTTATTATTACAAAAAACATTTCAAGTCAAGATAGCCAATAAATTTTTTAACACTGCAAGTATATCTAGCCTTAAATTTTTTTAGGCAAAAAAAACAACATGAATTTGTCATGGTGGCCAATAATTTTCTTGTTTACCCAGGAACAAATAATACTTGTGCATAAAATTGGAAGTCAATATAGGGAATAGGCTATATAAATAAAAATAAAAAACACCTATTACCATCTATTCAGGCAGGGAACATGTTCAAAAATAATGAACTGGAACTTAATAGTGAACAAAAATATGATTTTCTCAATCTTGGTCACAGCTGCAGGCACTAGGCAGCACATGTTTAATTGCATGCCTCAACCCTTATACCACACCCAATACTGCGTCTCGGAGTCTGGAGGATAATGCCAACTTAAGTTCTATTGTTTGATCATACAAATCAAGAGTAGCACCATTATAGTGGTCGCAATATCTGAAATCCTCTTCACATATGTCTACTACAAGTGTGTCTCAAAGTATAGTTGAACCTTAACAAATAAATAAAAGTAAACAAAAATCATTTTTTTTCCTTCACCAAGGAAAAATCATATAAGGGAGCAAATTGTGCATGTTAAACAAGAATGGAGTTAAAAGAAGAAAAAGGGGCTTACAGTGGAAATTAAGAAGCAGCCTAGAAGAAAACCACTATCAGCAATGGCACCACATTTGCTTCTGGCAACAAATTGTGCGGTGCGCAACAATTTTGACTGGACAAAAGTTTTGTTTCCTTCATTAGAAGATTCAGTATAGGTTTCCCCGAGAACCTCAAAGGTAATGATGCTAATTTTACGCTTTTCAGTATCTCCAAAGTATAAGTGGTCAGGGTTTTTAGGGTCCGGAAGGCTGCCAGTTGAGACATAATAGAAAATCCTATTTCCCAGATGAACTAGGTAAGCCGAAGGACATTTTACTCCAAGATTATCCTCAATAGCATCACCTACATCTGAGGACAGCAGTGCCATACGATCAAACAATCCTTTAGCTTTAGCCTCTGGCTCGGACTCTGAGGTCGGTCCAAATGCAGCGACGGTGTAATTGTAAATGGAATAGAGGGTATCCTCTACAAACTCAGCACTCCTGTCAAAATAAGGCAGGACCCGACAGTGCTTTGAGAACCGAACCCATACACATGTGTCCACGTTGAAAGAGAAGATTTCATTTTCCAAGGTTAATATGAAGACCCTTCTGTCAACCAGAGCATGACCAGTGAGTTTCTTGTTTATAGGGGGGTCAGGGAGGATTGACCACTTATTAGAGTCCAAATCAAAGACTTCAAATCGTGATAGATTCATCAATTTTTAATTGAACCGCATACTAGTTGCAATGGCATAGATCTTCTTGTGAGCCACAAATCATCGCAGTACCCTTCCTCAACAACTCAGACGGACAGTTACTGGTAACGAAAGTGTTGGTGGAGATGGTGGTGGTATCAAGAACATGGACATCCGGCGGGTAAGTGTCATTGAGATCCCAATCCTTCCCTTTTGATCTCTGTCTCTCGGCATGACAGCCCCCCAAAAAGATAAGGACTTGAGGTAACCCAACAGTTATTGAAAATTCACTTGTCTCTCCACTCGGCGATCTAATAATGGTCACCACACCTTCATACATATTCCTAATCACATCAATATAACTTTTTGTCACCTATTTCTTCTCTAACATCCACCAAATTATATCACGAGGCACAATTCATTTTAATCATTGTGTATATTTTTATACGTATATACATACATAAAATTATATATTATATTTAAGGTTAATTACACTACTCCCTCAACTATTAGCAAATATCATTTTGACCCTCTCATTTATGAACTCATACACATTGACCTCATTAGCTATGAAAATTGTACAAATACACCCATTTTGAATGTGGTCTGGAGGGGCTAAAAGTAATACATTTTTCTAGTTGAGGAAATCAAAATGGATGAGTTCATAGACGAGGAGGTCAAAGTGATATTCGCTAATAATTGAGGGTGTCAGGATGTTGCACACTACTCTCTTAAGTGATTTACCATCACTTATTACACAGGATGCAGATTCATACTTTTTAGCATAGATATATCACTTTGACTGGTAGATTGACAAACACTAACATCTATACCCAATCCCTCTAGAACTAGTCAGACATCCCTCATAAATAAAGATGAATCATGCCCCCTCAACTAATTATAAATTTCCCATTTATGGCCCTTTTTCATATATAACACAAAGAAATACACACAGATAACATCCCAATTAAAAATAATAAAAATGGAGATACGGACAAGTATGATAAGGGAATTAATTGAATGAATACATTTACAACATGATTTAACAGTGGAGTTTGCTTTGATCAGGTGCAATAGACCCATCAAAAAATTTAAAAAATGTTTCATAAAGGATCAATTAATCAAGGTGCTAAACATTTTGTTAGGTTTTATTTCTTGGCAATCCCGTTTGATAAAACTCCTTTGAGTTGTAATTTTATTCGCATTTTTATTTCAGTGAGGCTATGAGTTGTTAGATGCGAATCCAACCTGAATGCATGTATGGGCTAATATTGCAGGCATAAAGGGTCTCTGCAATTGTTGGCTTTGAAATGGATCACGAAACACTACTTAAATTCTTGACCATTGTACGATGTTCAGCTGGCAGACAGCGTTTTACTAGAAATGGACTCATGATGGACGATTTTTCTTGTTCTTTCCATGACAACTATACTCTTGGCAGTTGTTTTTTCACTATAGCTAGAGATCTAGTGCTCATATAATAAGCTGCCTGCCACATATTTTATGAGAAACTACTAGTCTTATACCTTAATTTGTTTTTTGGATAAATTACTCTAACCTCCCCTAAAATTTGACAAAAAATTCAGTAAAGCCCACAATTTTGTATTAATTACAAAGACCTCCCCATCAAGAATAAAGGAATAAACAGAGCTTACAGAATATATGAAAATTACTATTTTGCCTTTATTTTTGTTCGTTTCAAAATTTTAATAAACCTTTAATGTGAAATGACTCAAAAATCCCTTAACCCTAACCACACCCATTTCTCTATGTATTCATTGAGGGATTGCAATGGTAGGTGTTGGAAGCTGGTGGTGGTGGCTTGGAGGAAAGAGTGGGGAAGGCTAAGGGGTTTTGGTATAATTGTAGGGGTGGTGGTCATCGATTTGCGGTGGGTAGCCGTGGATTTTGTAGGCAGTGCTAGGCAAGGATTGGTTTTTTTGGATTTGTCAAGATTTGAGGTTAGTTATGTATTTGCATTGGTTTTTGAAAGATTTTTGGTTGGAGGGTCGTGATGAGAAAGTGAAGTGGATGGTTGTGGGTTTGGGTTGTGAGTTGTGGTAGGGTAGTGAATGGTGGTGGTTGTTGATGTCTCTGCTACGTGACAAAATAAGAGAGAGAAAATTGAGTGACCAAAATAAAACGGGGTGTGTGAGGGTTAATTTCATTCTTATTATAAGGGCATAAATCACTCTGTTTGGTTTTGGAGTTTTCAAAAATAATTTTCAAGTTTTCAATTCATATTCTTTGGTTTTTTAATGATTTTTTAAATATTTTAATCATTCATTTATTTTTATTTTTTTTTACTTCTTAGATCTACTTAATCTAGATACCCTTCAAAAATACAAAAATTTGTGAAAAAATCTTTAAAAATTTCTCTAAATACAAAATTTCTATATATTTTCATTTTTTTTTTGTGTGTGGATAAATCAGTATATTTTCATATTTTTTGGTTCAATAGTAAAACCCTGGCATTATAACCTTGAGGTTATGGGTTCAAGTCTCGAGGCAACCACTTTGTACATTATGTCAAATGTTAGGTGTGTACCAAGTCTTTTCCCTTCCAAACACACCTAATGTGTACTATTTGGGCATTGGTTTTTTTTTTTTTGAATTATAAAAATGAATAACATCATTTTTTAATAGTTTGACTATCGATTCACTAGCATTGCGGGGGTACATGATATGCAATTTAAAATTTTAAATAGATTGGTGTAATTATGCTAAAACTATGGGGCTGCTTGTATTTTGTCAAACCTCAAGGGTGGTTAGTTTAATTTACCCTAAATTTTGTTATCAAGTTAACACATCTCCATTGGAGATTGCTATTTTAGCAATGCTGAAGCTATAATTTGGCATGCTAGTGCCAAATATTGTATTTTCACTCCAGCAGTGCAAGTGTTATTTTAGTACAACAACTACCATTCCCTTTTTTTTCCAATCACTATTCTCTTTTCTAACCAACATTATCAAGCAACAACTGAATCTTGGGTAATGGACAACCAATGTTGCATATTGCAATGTCATTATTGAGAGTGACGCTTGTCCCCTTTATCTTTATTTGGAAGTCTTCCATAATTTGTGGTTTAAAATTTTGAGTCTTTCATAATTTTGATAAAGCACAGATACTTCAAAAATAGTATCATACACATACCGGTACTTACTGAGTGTGGGTATGCGTATTGGTACGGCTGCACGCGTATCGGGTACGGAAAAAAGGAGTCCGGTACGTTTGGTTCAATCGGGTACGGCTTGGGTACGGCATGGGTACGCCTTTGGTTTGTTTTGTGTACGTCGGGGTAGAAATCAAATTTCCCGGAGAATTGGGGGGTACTGGAGCAATATTAAGAAAAATTTCAGAAAAAAAAAGGAGGAATATACACGAATGCCCTAGGTTTTGCCCAAATCTCTTCACTTCAGCAACACAGCAGCAAAGAGGCGAGCCATCCATTCCCTTCAAAGGCCTTCGGCGACGGCGACGGCGACGCAAGGAGAGTTCCGGTGAGTGCTCTTCATCTTCTTCTTCTTCTTTGTCTTCTTCTTCTTCTTCTTTGTCTTCTTCTTCTTCTTCTTTTTCGCCTTCTTCTTCTTTGTCTACATCTTCCACCATTGTCTTCTTCGTTTCTTCTTCTTCGTCTCATATATTTTTTGTTTTGCAGATCAGCAAGCATCTGGTTTTGTCCCTTCTTGCATCACTTCGTCTTCCCTCCGGTGAGAAAGTGGTCAGAATTTTTGGATGCCCCTGCATATCAGCAAACAGCAAGCAACTGGTTAGAATTTTTTTCTTCATCTCCTTGTTTCTTCATCTCTTTGTCTTCATCTTTATTTTTTTTCTTGTTTTTTCTTTCTTCTTTAGAGAGGTAGAACCTGGTCAGAGAGGTAGAACCAAAAAAATAAAATAAAAATAGAGAGGTAGAACCAAGTTATTCAATCATACTTGGAACAAAAAAAAATTAGAACAAAAAAATTAAAACAAAAAAATTAATAATCAATCATACTTACAGAATGTTAATAATCAAAAAAATTAATTAGAACAAAGTTATTCCTCAACAGAAAAATGTTAATCAAAAAAATTAATTAGAAGTTTAGAACAAAGTTATTCCTCAACAGAATGAAAAAAATAAAAAATTAAGTTTAGAAGTTTAACCATAATTATAAAAAATAAAAAATAAAAAATAAAAAATAAAAAAATATCGGCGTACCGCAGCGGTACCTGTATCATACTTTTTTGGGGTTTTGCCGTGTTGAAGTACCCACACCCGTACTGTACTCGTACCCGCACCCATGCTTCCTTTGTGATGTCTCATTTGAGTGCTGAGAAATTTACAAAAAATAAATAAATAAAATTAATATATCCATAGTTGTTTGATATTGTAAATTGTTGCATAATATTCCATAATTTTACAAGTGCTGCATATTGTAGAATACATCCATTGGTCCTATTTTACAAGTCATTGGATGCACTGTCACAATCCAATGCACTGCCATACCAATCACAACCCTCAATGTCTCTTTCATCCCTTAGTCATCACCTCTCATCCTCATCCTCATCCTCATCCTCTCACATCCTGATTGAGGATGCTCAATGACTCCATTGTAGACTCACTTTTCTCTACTCAATCTCTTGGCTGTCCCTCTCTCTACTAAATCCTTCTCTTTCTTGGCTCTCATACATCATATCTCAAATCTCTCATATGTCAATTCTCAAATAGATACCCCCACGAAGCACTGGACAGGAAGACCTAGGGATTCAAACGAGAATACCTAGTGGTACACCACCTAGGGTTTCAAAGATCTACCTCTCTGCTAATCAGGTTCTCAAACTCCCACCAATTCTTGGCCAAACATCAATTAGTCCAAATCATGTCTCCATCCACAATTTCAGAACCCGGTGACACCACCTCCGATGTTAGGGTCCCAGCATTAGAGAGATGAGAGAGAGAGAGAGAGAGAGATCGGGATCTGAGAGACTGAGATCTAACAAGCTATTATTAACAGCATTTTGAATCAATTTAGGATTTTACAATAACTACCATTTCATATTTCAAAATGCAGCACTAATACAATCTGAATTGCAATTGTTAGGGTCCCAGTCACAATAAATAGTCTAATAGCTTTCATGTATCTGTCTATATTGTAATCATGTATTCAACAAAATCCCTCCACTTGTTCTAGACTCTTACCTCCAAGACAAGCCAATACATATAGACATCTCTTACCTCCAAGAGAAGCCAATACATATAGACATATACATACATAGAGAGAGAGAGAGAGAGAGAGAGAGAGAGAGAGAGAGAGAGAGGACTGCTTACAAAGAAGGGAAAAAAAATTGGAGAGAGATAATGGATTGGATCTGTGAAAAAATAGAAGAAACACTGGTGTGCCTTCCTTTCCAATAAACCCTAAACCCTGCATCGCACACACTGAAAATACCCTTATGGCTGGCGGTTCTAGGAAATTTCACTAGGGTAGACATTTTGAGGCTCTATTTGGCTACTTTTTTAGGCACTTTTTAACTACTTGAGCAAAAAAAAAAAAAAAAAAAAACCGATTCTGTATCAACGATGAAATCAGAACCGTTGTTTTCTGCTTATTTAATTGACAATTGAGAATTATTTATTTATATTTTTTTACAAGATTGGCAACTGATAAAAGGTCAAATTTAAAATAAAAATAAAAAAACACTTTGGTGAAGATTTTTAAAATTTATATTAATTTTTTTCATTTAAAAAAAATAAATTACTAAAGAATAAATAAAAAAACAACTTACCTGAACCTTCACAATAACAAAAGGCTAGCTTTTTTTAGCAACAACTTTATCTTAAAAAAGAAAAAATGTTATTAAAAATTCAATTGTCCAATCCAGCCTCAAAGACTCTTCTCTACCCTTTACAAAATCCACTAATTTAAATTTCTTAAATCACAGAAAAAGAGTTCTAATATATCGATACCATTTTTTTCCAACAAAAAACATGCAAAATCAAATACATCATTTTTAATGGACATAATCAAACAATTATTCATCCATTGATCTCCTATTTAGGCAGTTTTTTTTAGATGATAGTAAAGCCATTGTTACTGTAATTATACATGTATTTTAAGAGTTAGTGTGTTCTGGGTTGGGTGTTCAACAAAGTAGATCTAGACCAACTGGGTATTCAATAGAGTGGACAAGGGTGTTCAAAGTTAAAAATAAATAAAATTCAGAGAACACCCGCCAGATAATAAAGCCGCTGTTACTGTAATTATACATGTATTTTAAGAGTTAGTGTGTTCTGGGTTGGGTGTTCAACAAAGTAGATCTGGGCCAACTGGTATTCAATAGAGTGGACAAGGGTGTTCAAAGTTAAAAATAAATAAAATTCAGAGAGCACACCAGTTGAAATTCTACCCCCAAACCACTCTTGGAATACCATTTTTCGACCTAAACTAACAGCATAGTTAGAGAGACGATATATATATATATATATATCTATCTATGTGAGAGAGAGAGGGAGAGAGAAATATGAGATCTGAGGGAAAGCAAAACCTGGTTTGTGCAAAGCAAGAGCAAACGTTGCAGAGGCTGAGATGGAGAGGTGCCTTTTCAGAGTTACAGACGTTGGGAAGGGGGACGAGAAGAAGAAGAGAAAGAAAAACAAAAAATACTACTATTTTGCAGCTGCTAATTCGATGCGTAAGAGGTTACCGCGTATTTCATATTTGGGAAATCCTAGGATGTCGGGCATTTAGGAAAGAAAAGGGCAAAAAAAAAAAAAGTATATAAAATATATGTGACATTGTATTTGGTTTATAGATTTGGAAAGAGGCCTCTGTGTATAAATTTAGGCCTATTTTGATAACTAGGCAAAAAATCAATTTATTAGCTTTCTTTTTTTTGAAAAAACATATGAAAAAAATAGAGAGGTGATGTAACTAAATAAGCTAATAAATTAATAAGTTAACTTTTTCTTAGTTGCCAAAATAATCATTAATGAAAAAAAATTTCTTATAATTTTACTATATGTGAAACAAAATGACCACAGTGAACATCAATACACACACTAAATATTAAAACCTAATTTTATGAATACATAACTTTTGGAAAAAATTTTCAATGCATATCTTTTAAGGAAAAAATAACATATAATCAAATTCATAAGCGTGTGAAGACGTGGTGTGTGGAAAAGTGCTTTTGTGTAGTATGTGTACAAATTATGAGTTAGGGCTATAATTGGATCATTTGGTGTATGTGTAGACGTCCTCGAACGTCCCGGGAGGAACGAGCTCCCGTTCTGTTCATTTGGGGTCACTACAGCTCAGGACTCTCAAATTGTCACGGTTCTAAATCTGAACCAAAGAGTCCAAATCCGGCAAATCGTTTTGAGAAAACAGATTTTTGAAAGAAGTACCAAACAGAGTTAGGGCTATAATTGGATCATTTGGTGTATGGAATGAGAATAATAATATATAATGAAATTCATAAGTGTGTGAATTGCGATATGATGTGCATAGAGATTAAAGGGTGTGTGAAAATAGAATTTCCTTCATATACACCCCCGTCATAAATTAGCGTAATTTTATCACAAAATACAAATTAGCGTAACAAAAAATGTCATAACCAAGTCACAAACTTTTGTTACATGAACACAAATTTTTGAGCATTTTATTATGCTAATTTGTGGTGAGATTACGTATTTTGTGATTGATATTACGAAATTTTGTAATAAAGTTAACGCCAATTTGTATGGTACACACCCGTCATGCCCTTGGAGGGTGTATACCATAGCATTTCTAGTCATATTTTCATCTGCTTTGCATATATACATGACGGATAAAAGGGTAAATTACATTTAGTACCATTGCATTTAGTACCATTTCACTTTACCCCTTGACCTTTAAAAAGTAACAATCAACACCTTACACTTGTGGTCAAGTTCAAATTCAACCCATCTATTAACCCGCGTTAAATAAGACAAACAAAAAAGTAGCATGTGAATTCGCGTGGCCACTTTTAAAGGGCAAATTACACTTAACACCATGCGTTTTACACTCAATCTCACTCCGCCCCTTACCCTTTAAAAAAGTTACACGAAACACCTCACTCAACCCCATGTGTTTTATACTCAGAATTTCCTTCATATGCACCATGTCATAAATTAGCGTAATTTACCACAAAATACAAATTAGCATAACAAAAAATGTCGTAACTAAGTCACAAACTTTTGTTACATGAACATAAAATTTTGAACATTTTGTTATGTTAATTTGTGACGAGATTATGCATTTTGTGGTTGATATTACAAAATTTTGTAATAAAGTTACACCAATTTGTACAGTACACACTCGTCAAACCCTTGGTGTAGCACCTGTATCCTTCAAAACTTTTGGGAAGTGTATTTGAATCCTTTATTTTATTTTGAAAATCTTTAGTGTTGTTGTATCTTGGTTTTGGAGGAGTACAAATCGATTTAAACTTGTTGGGATTGTTCGTTCACGCTTGTTTATGTTGAAAAGTTGTTTGCGAACTTAGAAATCTTGTTCGGGGGTCGATACCAATCTTGGTAGTGTCAACACTTGCCTTTTGTTGTTAGCCTTAAGGGTCGACACCAGTCTGGAAGGGTCGACCCTTGTATGTTGTTGAACCTGGAAGTTGCTTGCTGAAATTTGGTGTCGACACCGGTCTGGAAAGGGTCGACACCTTGCCTGTTGCACTCTTTGCTTTTCTGTCTGAAGGGTCGTCACCTCTGCTACAAGGGTTGACCCCTACGAACTTTTTTTTTCCAGATTT